GATTCAGAAGGTTTATACGGGGGTCCATCGGAGAGATTTCGGGATGACGAGGCTGAAGATGAAGATAGTGAGGCTAGGCGAAGATATGAATTTGAGGATGAGCCACCAAACCGGCCTGGGTACGAAGATGAGTTAGACGACGAGGACGACGAGAGAGATGGCTGGGACTGGGAACCACCAAGACGATATCATGGTATTGAAAGATAAATAACTTCGTTCTTTGATGCGATATCTTGCGTGTCTTTTAATAATCTTCTCTTCAGAAAGGATTTCATTATTACATAGCTAAGTAATATTTAGCATACAACCAATTTATCTGACAAGTTAGGACAATGCAAACCCCCATTAGAAAATTGACTCTTCATGAACTTCACCGTATTGCCATGCAGTCAGTACTGGGTTTAGGTGTCACTAATGGAGAATGAAAGAATATCGTACAACGAGAAAGCGTGCAGACAAAATATAGACTGCCTCAGCGCTACTGAACTGCAGGAAAAACCATTCCAGGTCATTATTTTCGATTAACAACTGATTGGACTAGCTGGTGAAACAACGTGCTACCGTCGGTTGCATCTAAGCGTGGACACAAGACAAATAACCTGTTCTAATAGGGTGTCACACATGACATGTTTTGCCGCCAAAGTTTGACAGCCGGTCAAGCAAACTGTCGCGCCGAAGGAAAGTTGTTTATATATTTTTGATCAGTGCTTCCACTCATATTTCATTTTCTCAACCGCAAGACATATTTCTCGCTTAGAAACAGCTTACTTGCCTACAGAAATTATACTTAACGTCTGAAAATTCCTTTAAAGAATATTTCGTTGAGCGAAAACAAATCAAGTCGATAACAGCCACTAACTCCAAACTTCGAATATTTGGCGGCAAAACATGTTCTAATTGGGTGCAGTCGTGTTTGCACCCAATTAGAACATGTTTTTTTCTCCCGTGTACAAGCTTAGATGCAACCGACGGTATTTGTTACTGCGCCACGAAACACTGACTGATAAAAAAAACTCAACAAGAGAGGCGATATAGGTGCAGATTGAAATAGGGGTCTGGAACAGGCTAATCCGGAAAACTCCTTCAACTTCACATAAGACAATTTTGAATAAATCCTTCGATCCGCGGTATCTTTTTTTCAAGTTTTGACAAAAGATCAGTGAGAGAATATCAATCGATACCGCTAGCGCTTTTTAAATTAGTTAACTGACCAAGCGTAAATGTGATATGTCCAAAGTGAGGGAAGATATTACTCCAGCCAAATTTTACAGACGTTTATTCGGTGAGGGCACCACTGACTTAACTCCAACCATACAAACGTCTGTAAATTCTCGCTATACTTTGACGTTAGTTTTTCGTTAGTTTTCAACATATCGCTTTTAAACTTGGCATCTTTATTGACTTTAAAACATTCTTTATAGCAGTGTAAACGGATTCTAACTAAGCATAAACTCCTGGCAGGTCCATCCAAGCCGGGCAGGTTACAGTGGAGAGGACAGACTAAAAGCAGCACCTGTCCCCCCAGGTTGGGGGTTGGGCGTGGGGCTATAACAATCCCACCCCGGAAAAAAACCGATAATTGCTAATAATCGATAGTAATCGATATCTATCATCAATGAATATCGATTTCCGATATCGATCGATAGAAATCGATAAAGAAAAAAGTTGTGTCTTCCATTAATACCTAGGATTTACCAATAGAAATCGATGATGATTTTTATCGATTGTTATCGATTACTATCAATTCCTATCGATATCGATTTCCGATATCAATCGGTATTAATCGGTGGATTAAATGGATTAGTATCGATGATATCGACTGATTTCCGATATCGATTTTTACCGGTTAACTCCGTCTAGTGTTACCAAAATTTAAACACTAGCACAAAAGAATAATAAGCTAAACGAAAAGTTATTTAACAAATCTAATTGTTGAAATATTACAGGTGGAAAGAGATGGAAGTCTCATCAAGATCCAGATGATGACGATGAATATGAACCCAGCTACCACGCTCACTACCAGCATCACCCGAGACATGCGCACTATCACCGCCAGTACTTTACACACCCTTCTAATGTTCGTGCCAGTCACAGAACATTCGACCAATCAGTGCCTTCATGGCGATCTCCATACACCCAGATTTACCAAGCCTTCTATCCTACCTCTGCACCCTACACTCCGCATCCCGCGAGACTGGCAACATTTCCCTCGGGTCAAGCAAGCTGGCAGCCTCCTTATCTTCGGATGAACACAAGACATTTGCTCGATGCTGTTGGGCCGAGTGTTATCAATCCTTACCTTCAAAATACTTTCACTTATCCACATCGAGAGACTAACTCATTTTTTATTCCTCCTCGTCGTGTCTCATCGACTCCCTATTTGGAAGCCACGGCTAGAAATCTCGTGAGTTTCACGCGAACTATTCCCGATATTGCCGCGACTCTCCCGCGTCTATCTGACAGTGTCTATCATTACCCGCGAGTTATCCCTGGGGTAGCATCCCGTAGCCGGCATTTTGGCGGTCACTTATCAGGACCGTTTCTAAGACACAGCGAGTTCCCTGATGCTGTTCTCAACAGAATTAGAGAATTAAATCTTCACTGATCTGGGTAGAGCTATTTTTATGTCTAAGTGGAGGTTAGGTAGTCTGCGTCTCCTGTCTGCGTTTATTTCCTCTTTCTCAAAGGAGCTGTGTCACATGGGTTGCTGTTTTAGGTCATTTATTTGCTGAAGTCGTTGCTTAAAATACTGCCATTAGTCACCCATTCACAAAATGCTCCTGTAGGCCTTTGGGTTATGAAGAAAATATCAAGCAAACACAAACCATAACAGAGTCTGCAGAGCGTTTTGAAACGTGGGAGGGAGGGCTCATCTTCCACTCAGCCATACGCATACCCCTGCTCAGATTTTCCAAAATGTCCTTTTTCGTTGTTCGTTGGCACAAGTACTCCTCTTTGCAATCTTCGCATTGTCTAGCGTGTCCTTAATCGATTGTACATCAGTAGGCAGTTGTCAGGCGGTCCTGCTTCTTGGTGCTCCTTAGGTCGTCTGAGGGCAGAAAATGTGCGCTCTGAAGTCGCCGATGTCACAGGTATTTTAGAAAACATCAATAAAAGTGTTTTTCGGTACCAAACCGTGGGGTGGGGGGGGGGGCTCTGCCCCCTCATTTTCGTTTTTAGCTAACCCATGTCCATCCCTGTCATCCGAAGCAATAGACTACAGGAAACAACCAAGCTTTTCAAAGAGATTAAACAAATAGAATGATATTGCCCTTTAACTAAAAGTGCCATTTTCCAGTGAACCGTCTGACAGTCCCAGAGATCCCTTATTTCTATTTAACCGTACTTGGTTTTAGCTTAAAAATACTAAAATTACACTTTACTGAATAAACTACTCCACAAGAATACAATATTATAACCTTTTATTGAAGTCACTTGTGAAAATACCACATGAGTTTACAACTTCATCGAAGCTACATAGTCCTTGCTAAGGGCTCCTAAAATGGCCGATATCTGTTACGACGGAAATACAACTTCTTCGTTTGCCTCAGGCCGCTTAGACTCTCAATCCAAGTTCGGAGTCCACATTACTCTGAATCAGCCGGGTAGAGAACCTTAATTATGACTCACGGCCATGGTGGCTGACTCTCACAGCGGAAACGAATCATCTTTCCTTCAGTCGACTTACCTCATCCTAGGTCTCTCTATTTGCACATTTGTAAAATATGTGGGTACGTGTGATCTTTGCCATAGACAAAAAGAAAATTATAAATGAACGATCAGCGTCCCTTTGTTCATTTTTCGATACATCGGGTCACCTGGTCATTAAATTGCTCTCTAGTACGATAGTAAGGTTTCATTTTTTTAACACTTGAAGGCAAGCGGTTTGAAAACGAGGGGTCGACTCCGTCGGTTGCAAATTAGGGAAAGGAATGGCTGAAACTAACTGCACATGTGCTGGACTGATCATTCTAACATCTGCTGAACAGGATCTGCGCAGTGGTCGTTGCGCATGCGTTGGCCGAGAAGGTTGAACGGTAGGGCTAGAGCCTGGGAACGAGGCCATCAGTTTTGGTTGTGAAACAGGTTGCGATATTTGTATCAGAGGGGTGGGAGATGACGTCATTGGAAGAAACCTTGTTGGGCTTGTGAGATACGTTGGGGATGTTAAAGAGACGTCTGTTGTACTGAGGCAGCCTAATAAACAAAAATGGAAAAAATCACAAGTGAAATTTCTGGCAATTAATTCAATTCCCTTGATTTTGCACTAAAAACCTAAAAGACGAGGATCTAAAGTAGGTTCTCCCAATGCCACCACTAATTTTTCCTTGATCCCGCCATCCCTCTATATTTAGCTTTGGACAGTAGTAACTTGTACGGAGTGGTATGAGTTGTGACACCATGTTCACTATTTTTTACTATAAGATCAAGTGGTAAAAGCTAAGTGAATAGAATGAAGGTTATACGGCTTACTCTCCCCTTGCGGACACCTGGCTACAATGGACTCCCCGATAATATGGACAGCAGCTTAATCCCAGGCAAAATAAATTGAAGACGTTTGACTGAAAAACCCGCTATTACGGACTCTCACTAATGAGGACACTAACTCTAGTCCCTACAGTGTCCGCTGTAAAGGAAGTTGATTGTACGTGGCCAAACTGCATCTCATAAGGGGCACTTTGAATATGAATTGAGAGTTGTAGAGGGTGGGGCCAAGTGATACGACTGGTATACGAGTCGTGCAACTCGGAAATTGCACCGACTGCATCTCACTATTTAGGACACTTGGAATCTGGTTGGCAAGTCATTTAGATTGGGGAGGGGGCTTGGGTGTTATGTGGCTATGACAATAGAAAATCAGACATGAGGTCAATAAGCGATATTTGTTAAAGCAAACTGTCAAAGTTTGAATCTCTTCGACCAAATCAACCTCCTTCATAGATCTCGATCCCCAAGGCTGCGTCCAGATGGCCGATTTAACAATTATGCTCTTTTGGACAAGAGCTATAATGATGGAGCAATTACTTCAAATGCATATGGTGATATTCTTTCATTTTTTAATGGTCGAACAACAGCGATTATAAAAACGAGAAAGAGGCCTCTTGTATTTAGTGTGGACATTCAAGGCGCCCCCGGTCTAAAATAAAATTTGTCTTTTTTTGTGTCTCAATTGCTAATTACTCTAATTTGGGAAACTTTCCTAGCATATCCTACATTTACTGAGCTTTTCACAAACATGCGAATACGTATTTGGCTGCCGTCAATCATAATTACGATCACAAGTAACGAACTTTGAAACACAGAAACACACAAAACGGATCGAAATCCTCCAATCACAAATCAGAAACCATGACCTTTTGAACCAGTTAAAGTAAAGTTTTGTTTCCTAACAGGTCCGTCAAGATGATTGACGGCAGCGAAAAACCCAATCGTCAGTTGGCTTTTGGACTTAAGAATTTGCATGTTTGTGAAAAGCGCAGTAATTTTATCTTTGCGATTAATTGTGGTGGATGTATAGATGCGTCATTGAGCAAAAGGTATAAAACATCTTCGTAAGCTAGTACTTCTCAGAACCAAATTAAACATGAATAACAGCAAAGACCAAGGCGACTTGAGTTTCCGCGATATTTCAGACGAACAATCCGTCCTTCTTCAGGGGGTTTTATGAAGAAACGGATAGACAATTTGTTTTATACTGCGTTAAGATAAAAGCCAAGAGCGAATCAAGGCACCTCTTGGTCTCCAGAAGATAGGAAAGAAAGAGAAACGGATCAAAAGAGAAAAACTCTTGTTAAACATATTTCGAAAACGCTCTCATAGAATTTGTTGAAACTTACATTGGTACATACTCCCTTAAGCGATTTCTTCAAAAACCTCCTGGTACAGAGAAACACAAAGATAAATAAAAAGCGTAATGGCGTCATAACGTTGCCATGGCGACTCCGCTTGCAATAAAACCCAAATCATAAGAAATTTTCATCATTATATAATACAGTTGTGGTAACCTTTTTCCCATATCTTTACTCATGCCGACGTAGTTAAAGCTCAAACGTCGGAGGTATCCCCTCAAAAAAATCCAGTCGAGCCACCTTAACAATGGAAATCGTCCTGTCCCTTCATGCTTTGCGCGCGACGATTTTAAGCTCCGTTGTCCATACCCTATACTTAGAAATGACGTCAAAATTTTCAACACGTACTGTTTTAGCGAAGCCACTCGAGGTTTCAAAATTTGGACGTCATTTCTATGTTCTATTAATAAGACTATAGACGATGAAAAATTGTGGACAGTTTGGGCAAAGTAAAATCGTAAACGTTCAGCCCGATGCCGTGCGCGAGTACCCGAAGGCGGGTGCATCCCGGGAAGTCTTCTGGTCGCGATGTCTTTCTGTTTGTAATCTCATCGTTTTCCCTTAAACATTGGAAATCTTACTGGATCTACAACAGTATGAAAACGTTCTTTTTATTGCACGAAAAGATCATGACATTCAAAAAGTCGGGCGTGTTTCCAAATCAAATGGAAATGTAGTTTCCCTAAGTATGTTATATTATCTCGTATTTACAAGTTTCTTCAGAATCCAAGAGCGCTTACCATTTGTATGAACGGTTCATCCCGGTGGAAATGTTCCGGAAAAAATAGTAATTCCTTTCGAGGTATTACCTTTTTCCCGTTTTTTACCGAAACAGCCGAAATTTTCTGTACCATGCATTTGTTTGGATGACTAGTGCCAGGCTTCATGTCCAGAGAAAGCGAAAACTTTACCGGTATTTCATAAATGGTACAACTCAATCCGGTTCCTGTTTTCGGTGCCAAAAAAATACCAGTACCATTTGACGGAAATTTTCCACCGCACGCAGCTCCGCTATCAGGGTTGGAGAATACTAGAGAGTGGATATCCTGTCTTGAAAATTCTTGTGAGCTCCCATCTTTTCCTTTGTAGAGTGTAACCTTCAGGATGCTGCCTTTCTAACTTTTGCAGCCCTTTTTCTCGTCATTAGGTCACGTGGTATATTACCACTTCCGTTAGGAAGAATCTTTTTCAAATAGTTTCCTTTGTGAAAATGTCTATTTTTTATTTTACAATAACTGAGCCAATCCTTGCGCGCTGATTGGTCGAGAGCTATGGTCTATGAGAGTATAGACCATGGAAATGACGTAACCGGTCACGCAGTGCAGGTAGTTTTGTTTTTGGTTTTCATAAAAAAATTAAGTGTTATTGTAAAAAACAAATCGACCACAATTTTCCACGGTCTACACTCTTATAAACCATAGAAATGACGCCAATACGTCATTTCTATGGTCTGTAAGAGTTGGAAAATTGTGGTCGATTTGTTAATTAGCTTATTAAGCCATTCCTCTACATGCGCAGAAGAGCTCTGGGTCGAGATTGGCCATTGTTACTGCTTCCTGTTAGAGCGATTTTCGTATGACCTTGAAATGAAAACGCGCGAACAAAACAAAAACAACAAACGAACGGAAATACAGCGATTTGATTGGTTTATCGAACGGATACAAACGCACCTGGCTTTTGGTTGGTTAAGCGAACGCTCGGATGAAAAAACTTCTTCCCTGAAGAACTTTCTAGAAATTGCTTTGACGTCATACTG